CCTCCTGGCCGCATCCCTGGCCCTCGCTCCCTCGCTCACCACCGCGTCGATGTCCGCGCCACGCTCCAGCAAGAGCAGCACCGCTTCGTGGCACTCGGTGTTCACGGCCACGTGCAGGGCAGTGAGACCGTCATAATTGCGGGCCTCCAGGTCCCCTGTGCCCGGGGCCGCGCTGTCCAGCAGGGCCCGCAGGCAGATCGGGCTGCGTGCGGTGCTCACACGCCAAGTGGGCTGCTGTCTGGCCATGGCGGTCCAGGGCCATGGGGCTGGCACCGGCCATCACCAGTAGCCGGACCACAGACGGCAAAGTGGTGATCACAGCCAGGTGTAGCGGCGTCTGGGGAACAGAGTCTGTGAGGGATCCGTATGTGCCCTGCCCTGGTCCTAGTCCTGCTTCCCTCAGAATTTCCCAGTCCTCACCCCCAGCTGCAGTCTTCCTCCGGAGCCACAAATCTGGAGCCCCTCCTCCCTCAGACCCATGAATCCAGACCCCCAGCCTCACCTGCCTGAGGTTGTTGTAGATGTCCAGCTCCCGGCCCCCATGCTGGAAGAGGCTGACGAGTCGATGCACAGCTGGCAGATTGCCCTGCACCACGGCAATGTGGAGTGGCCTGGGGGGGAGGGTCAGACATTAGGGGCCGGTCACCTCTCACCCCCATGCTCTCAGCAGCGCTTTCTCCAATATGTGCCGGTACTTTGGAAATATCTCCAGAATCCAGTCACTCCTCCCACCCCCACTCCCTTCATCCTGACTCAGCCCCCATCATCCTGGACGTCTCCTCCTCACTGGCTTCACTGCTTCCACCATGGCCGACTGTCTGTCCCCCACATAGCAGCCAGAGGGGCCCTGATAGACTCCACGTCAAGGCATGCGCCCCCCGCCCCGCCCCTTCGGCTCAGAACCCTCAGAGTCAAGGCCAGTCCTCACATGACCCACAGGCCTTGAGTGATCTTGTCTCCCGCTCTTCAACCCTTTTGACCTCCTCTCCATCTGCTCTCCTCATTTGGCTCTGACCACTGGCCTCCTTGCTGTTACTCAAACATAACAAGCCCGGGGCCTTAGCACTGGCTGTTCCCTCGGCCTGGAACATGCTTCTGCCACGTACCTGCAGGGCCTCTGCCAAAATGGAATGGCATCGGCTCCCTCCTCCTCCTCCTTACCCTGCTAACTTCTCTCCACTTGACATTATGCAGTTTACTTGTTTCCTGTCTGAATCCCACTCCTCCCCCTCCCCCCCAAGGTTAACTCCACCAGGACAGGGTGGTTTGTCTGCTTCGGCCACTGCCCAGTGCCTAGGGCCGAGCAGGTGCTCCGTGAACATGCGCTGAATAAACGAATTCATCCCAATGATCCCTGGCCATCCTCGAAGCCTGTGACCACGTTCCCACCCCTTTGGGGGCCACAGTTTCCTCGTCTGTGAAATGAGTGGGGATGAACTAGATGCCAGTAAAGTCTCCATCGGTTGTGACTCCACATCCCATTCAGTGGAGAAAAGAGTGGAGAAAGTTTTGCCCCAAAGGGAAGTGGGATGGGGTCATTGCTCTGGAGTTTGGGCTGTGCAACGGAAGGGCTCATTCCCGCAGCTTCTGGGAAGGCTATCAGCTCTCTGCTTTCTCTGGGAATTACCCTCTGCCCAGGAGCACTGTTTGCCCGGTCACGAGGGGAGCAGCCACCATCCAGAGGGACACAATGTCTGGCATAAAGGGCCCGGCCTTCTGGCCTCAACTGCGAAGGCCACTCCAGCTGCCACCTCCCTGTGGGACGCACAGCAGCTCGACTTCTCCCCGGGCCCAGCCCATAAGCTTTCTGCCAGCTTCCCAGGGCCCCCAACCTGCAACAGCCAATCCAAGCGGAGGGCAATCTGGGATGACTGTGCATGGGCCTTCGCCTACTCGCTCAGGGTCCGGGACATTGGCACTTAGGGCACAAGGCTGACTGCAAGTACGCAGTCCACACAACCTTTCCAAGTCCAGTTACTGGACCAACTGCTCCCAGCTGGACAATGTGCATCCTGGACCAGGTCCCTAGGTGCTTGGCTGGGGATGGAGACACCCAGCAGCCCAGACAGAGGGCTTTGCGGGGGCTAAGGAGGCCAGGCTTGCAAATGGGGGTGTCCTCCCTAGCTGTGTGTGCTAAGGCAAAGGCACGTGGCCCTTCTGAGCTTCGGTTTTCTCTTTTGTGAAGTATCATCCACCTCCCAGGGGGAGATGATGCAGGAGGAACGCGGAACCTGGACCCTAATCCTTGAAACCCCAATTAAAAAAAAATCTTGGGGGGGGGGTTGGACCTGGGCCTCCTGGGAAGGGGTCCCTTCCTCCCCGGCTTCTCTCGGTACGCACCCCCCACCCCCGCCCCCGTCCCTCTCCGCGCGGGCGGGGTTAAGTGAGGGCAGAGGGAGAGAATGATTTCAGAGAAACCGTCCAGGCCTGAGTTCCCATAAACGCGCGGGCCGCAGGGGGTGGGGCGGGGCTGGAGGAAGTGGGGACGGGAGGGGCGGCCCTGCCCTCGGACTTCCAGTAACAGGTCTGCTGGGCGGGGCTCCGCTTCCTGCTCCCGGGGGAGGGAAGCCTGAGCCGCCGGGGATCTACCGGGGCCACCCGCCCCCTCCCCCGGCGCCCCGACTTCCATCCTCGAATGGGGTAAAGGAGGGGGAAGCCCAAGCCAAAGAGACCTCGCTTGTCTGGGGGGCGCGAGGGGGGAAAGACCCCAAGTCTCCAGCCTGGAGGCCCCCCTGGTACGCCGCAGACTCCAGATGGCTTCTTGTCCCCCTCATCCCAGCATCCACCTCAAAGTCTCCTGGGACCCTTACCCCTTGGCGGATCGGACTTCCCAGTCCCTCTCTAGATGCCCTGGCTGCCCTGCATCCTGTTCCTTTCCGCACCAGAGATCCAGAAATGCTACGCCCCCAGCTCTGCTCTCTGGGACTCAGTGCTCGCCTCCCCCCAACGCCCCCAGACCCCGATTTTGCTTGCCAGTGCCTGACCTCTTGGGGGTCCAGAAGCCCTGAGATTCTTGCTCCCTGAGTCCCTGTAAGTCTAGCCTCCCGACCAAGCTTTGCAGCTTTGGGGGCCCAGCCTTGGCGTGTCCCGTCCCCCCCCTCCCCGCCCCCAGGCTGTGCCAGCTGCCCATTCCGGTAAAGCCTGGCCCCAGCGGAAGGGGTTAAGGTTAGAGGGAGCGCCGGGAGGGGGAGGCTGCGAGTGAGTGACGGGTGCTGACGTGGGGGAGGCAGAGCAGCTGGGCTGCGGTCAGGTTCTGCGGGAAGGGATTTCCCCGGACCAGCAGCTGAGGCAGAAGTGTTTGCTTTGGGGGAGAGGGGAGAGAGGCAGGAGAGTGAGAGAGCGGGGGAGGGCGGGCGGGGCGCGGGGCTACAGCCTGGCCTGCGAGGTCTCCTCCTGCACCCTGCTTGCACAGGCTACAAACAACTCGCCCCTGGGGGCAGATACGCGTTAAATCCATTTCACAGACGACCCCGGAGGTAGCCAGAGGAGGAAACGAGCTTTATCGAGTCCTTTATATATCTCAGACACTTTCTCCCGCTTGGGTGCACACCGTGGCCCACACTGCCTGGGGAGCTCTGTTCCAACAACATCCACCCACGTATATTGAGCACCTACTGTGCGCTGGGCCCCGTTCCCTGCACTATATGAATGTTCATCGTTGCACTGAATCCTTACTGGGATCGGTGCTATTATGAGCTGTGGGTTTCCCGAGAGAAACACTGAGGTCAGGGACGTGAAGTCGCCTCACATCCAGCAGTGGTGTGTGTGTCCCCCCACCCCCCTTCCCTGCAGAAATAGGCTTGTCAATCCGTGCCTAGCTGTGGTTTGCAGTCCCCAAACCTATTCCCAGAGAAGCGCTATACAGAAACCATCTCGTTTGCCTCACAGACTCCTGCACACTTATGGTTCCTGTTTTTCAGGGGGGAACTGAGGCAGGGAGGGGTGAGAAAATGACTAGCTGAGATTCAAACGGAGGTCAATGGAATTAGAAGCCTGATGGTCCAGTGTGCCGAGGGCTAAACCCTCCCGTGTGGGATTTCTCAGAAGCTTCAAGAAGAGGTTCTTCAGACTGCCGGTGACAAAGCCATGGCATTGGTGAAATCGGTTTAAGGGATCGTGAAAATAATTTAGTGGGTTGTGACCATGAAACAATGAGAAACACACCAGAATAGAAAACACTAAAGCAGATCTCACGTAGTGAGGGTATGGTTTTGTTTGGTGCGATTTTTTATTTCTGGTTTATATGCGTGTGTGCTGAGTTTTCAATATAAAATAACAATAATAATGTTAATTAATACCTATTGAGCACTCATCACCTACCATGCTCAGTACTAGGAGCTTAGCATGCATAATTCATATAATAAGTCAACCAATGAAATGTCTTTCTCATTGCTGGAGTGTGATAACAAGTTTGAAACCCCTTACTCCAAAATAGGTCCTAGGAGGTAAGCGCTCTCAGGGCGCCCATTTTTCAGAAGAGGAAACTGAGGCTCCAGGAGGGGATGGGCCTTGCTCAGTCACACAGCCAGCGGTGGGGTTAACTAGAGAGTCCTGGCTGAGTGCCCCTGTGTTGTGGTGGGCGAAGCAGGAGAGCTGGCTTCCCCATTCCCACTCCCCATCAATGGGGGACTAGTACTCACGTGTCTCCGTCCTCATCTGCGCGGGTGGCCACGGCGATGTCCGCTGACAGAGGGTGTTC